CATTTCTGTAGCCTAACCCTGACCTGTGTGAGAGACAGACTACACCCTCGACAGGTCTTCAGTCTGTACCAAGAATATGGAGACAAATAATTCAACCATTTACACTCTCATCCACACCTGAGAACAATCTAGTTACCAATTAACCTAACATGCATGGTTTTGGTCTCTTGGAAAAACCATGTACCAACAGAAAACCTCTGTGTGCACGGAGACAGAACATGCAAACTCCACCCACACAGGTCCTTAATTGTGATACGATCCAGCAATCCTCTTGCTAAGAGGCGACACCTCTGATCACTGTGCTTGTGTGTCATCCCTAAGCATAACCTTATTTCATATTTAAGCCCTAAACTGTCTGCGCCTGGTTCTGCTGGAGGTGTCTTCCTGTTAGGGAATTTTTCCTTACCACTGTTGCCATTGTGCTTGCTCAGGATGGGACACTGAGATGAAGTCAAGATTCAACTTGTCTGCTGGCTTCCTTAGATAGAGAACTTTACTAATTGGCTTTTTTAATGTATGTGAATGTTTTTGTACAGTGCCCTGAGACAACTTCTGTTGTGACTTGACGCTAAATAAATAAACCGAGTTGAACTGAATTGAACATAACTCCAAAATGACGTTCCACCCTATGTGGACTAGACTTTGGTTTAAAAAAACTATAGTCCTGATAAAGTAGGTGATTATAACAGAAACGTTCCTAAAAAGATAAAATCAGCTACGCACACCTTCACATAAATTTGACACCAACTGCTTGATTCCAAAACAAGTTTTTATTGGCCAATTTACAGAAAGTGCTGTAGTGACCATTCCAAAGAAAAACAGACCAAAGAGTCCAGAGAACCAAAAGAAAAAATGTACACGTTATACAAGGTTTGAATGTTAAGTTTACCGTCCTCTTCTAAAACAAAAGTCAGGACAACATTAGAGCTTGAGCCAATGCAAAATCCACCAAGGGTTTCAAGTGGGGAAGGAGAGGGGGTGCGAGGAGAGAGGTGACATCACAAGACCAGGTGTCACGGCAGATGAGGAAACCTCTTAAACATATGAGATCTTTACATGAACATACAATAGAACCACAGAACACACACAGGATTCTTCCAGCTGGGAAAAAAGGGTTCACTGGGTCAAAACGAGGACACTTCAGCAGTTGGGACAAACTTTGATTCATCTGTGTTGCACTATACAAACAGAACAGTTCTGATTTCTGGGAACAAAACTGCATTCATGGATTATCAGCTATCAACATTAGACACAGACTAGATTCAGCATGGCCATAGTAATGCCCTCTAACTTTAATGTGGAAAAAAGAAACTTCATTTTAGTTTTCATGATTATGTGAAATGTGACACTGCCAATCAGATCCATTCTCTGTCCTCATATTGCAGTTTGGCGGACTTGTGTGCAGCATTTTTTATTGGAATTTATGACTTTAGTAATAATGCTCCTTAGTTTAATATGTTCCACAGGTGCTTTGCTTCATCCAGTGTTTAAAGTTCTGAAATTATTTTTTTTGTTTGTTAAGTTTTAGAGTTTTAGTCACATAAATAACATGTTAGGTGTTTTTCACGAGACAGTTTAAACTACTGTTCATTGAATATAGACAAATGCTGATGTTATAAATTTTAGTGATATCTAAATAAAGTTAAATAGAAAGCCCAGCGTCTGTTTAAAGGGTTAAATCCACTTTAAGGTTTTTAACCATTGGGGAGCAGAACACGTAATAAAGTACACATGTTTACAAACTCATTTATTCTATTACTATTGTTCAATAAAATAATAGTTCATCAATGCAGCTAAAATAGAAATGCATCCTATTTGATACATTTGTTTTCTTTTAAACCCAGTCATCATGACATTTATTAGGTTCTTTAAAGTTTTCAATTGAAAGGACCCTTTTAATGTAAGGTGGAGACAAATTAAAACAATCAATCAAACGTTTGGTTGACCTTCTAAAGCTACTAGAGGGACAAATTGAAAATTCTCATTTATGTTAAGCTGAAAGTCTTACGTTTTCAGGATCCAAAAGGAGGTTCTGTTGGTGCATGGTGGCTTGATCACTATAGCTTCTTAAAATGACTCTACCAGAATGATTCTGTAGTTGAAACTATTGAATATGTACTGAGTTGTTTTGTTTTTTAAACAAGGCCCAGGCCTCCCTGGCTAAAGAGCTCTATGGGATTTGCCTGGTTAAATAAAAGTTAATAAATAAATATTAATTTAAAAAAATTATTTTCAGATTTATCATGTCCTGAATGGCTGAGAATTTACACCTTTAGTCAAACTGCTGGTTAAAGGTTCAAAGTTTATTTTAGCTTTCTGTAAAAAGCTCAACTTGTTCACCGATTTTGTTCTTCACGACATTCCAGACAGAAAAAGTGAACTGAAACAACATTCATGTTGTCAAAGTTCTGCTTAGTGCTGGGAGCTTTTAAATAAATAGATTCTCATTTATGGAATGTAAATTTCCAAAGTCATTTTAAATCTCCCTATGTGTTGCTTTATGCATTATCAATGTTGGCTTTTTCCATGTCAAATTTTATAACGATTCTTCAGGCACATTTTTCATTTTATCACAGGGTAAACATTTTCCCATTTGACCAGAGCTTTTTTATTTATTATTTTCATAATTTCTCAGGATTATGTTTTGCCAGAAAGCCCCACTTTGTTGCACTTGCTTTTTAGTCCAGCCCTGTGGTGTCCCGCTAAAGATGAAGAATCTCAGCTCCCCCAAAAAGAAAAAGAGCCTCACACCAAATGTGAAACCTAAAGCCCTCTTCACACTGGATGATCCCACTATGATGCATCAAACCAAAATAGGGATGGGTTTACAGGGTCTTGGTGAGGTCTTCAGTTGCATATATAAACTCAATGGGCTCTCCATTACATGTGATAAGTCATGATAGGTATATGATGCTTCTGAGCATGAGTAAAACATCTGCAGTGAGGTCATAATGTTTTATCATTGTGGTGGCAGAATATTATTGTTCTAGGTGGAGCATGGGAATGATGAATCCCCATAGACTGATGTTTGCAGATGACATTGTGATCTGTGGTGAGAACAGGGAACAGGTGGAAGAAAAATGAAAGTCACTTGTAGTAAAACAGAGTACATGTGTGTAAATGAGATGGAGGCTGGTGGAACAGTGAGGCTACATGGAGCAGAGGTCACAAAGGTGCAGGACTTAAAGTATTTGGGGTCCACTGTCCAAGAAAATGGAGAGTGTGGTAAAGAGGTGAAAAAGAGTGTCCAGGCATGATGGAGTGGATGGAGAAAAGTTTCAGGAGTGATTTGTAACAAAAAAGTGTCAGCAAAGGTCAAAGGAAAAGTTTACAAGTCAGTGGTGAAACCAGCTATGTTGTATGGTCTGGAGACAGAGACACTGACAAAAAGACAGGAGAAAGAACTGAAGTGGCAGAAATAAGATGTTGAGGTTCTCCTTAGGAGTGACAAGGATGGATAAGATTAGGAATGAGATCATCAGAGGTACAGCACAGGTTGAAGGACTAAACTTAGAGGTCAAACTGAGATGGTTCAGACATGTCCAGAGGAGGGACAGTGGTTTGGACATGTCCATAGGAGGGACAGTGGTTTGGACATGTCCAGAGGAGGGACAGTGGTTTGGACATGTCCAGAGGAGGGACAGTGGTTTGGGCATGTCCAGAGGAGGGACAGTGGTTTGGACATGTCCATAGGAGGGACAGTGGTTTGGACATGTCCAGAGGAGGGACAGTGGTTTGGGCATGTACAGAGGCATAGTGTGGTATCCAGAATGTGAAGTAGGACTGGCCATGCTGATCTCATGCTTAGGTTATGAGTGTAGATATGGAAATAACTTAGCTCAGATGTGATACTAATGGAGGAATTGCAGTGTGATCTATGTATCTGCATCTTCATGTTAATCAAGTAAGTTGAGCCAAGGCAGACACAAGAGAGCACCAATGGTCACAAAAATCTGAAAAGGAAACCTATTTTTGTACGTAATGAGTGTGGCAGCATCATGCTAAAGGGAACTTTCCAAATTTGTTGCAATCAACATCATTCTAATGGGTCACGTAGGTTGTAGGGTCCAGTGTGAAGGGCTCCTTAAGAATTTCAGCAAGAAGACTGGAGTTTATATTTTTTAAATTTAACTTGAAGGTTTTATCTAAGTTAGTTTAAACATAAAAAAAAAAATGTATTCACTAAAACACCTTGAAGCTTAATTACTAACCTGGTACATTTTCATTAATGGAGTTCTCTACATTATATATTTTTTACTTGCAGTGTTTCTTTTACACAAACTTCTTGCCTGTCACCTGAGGCAGCGACACATCCACATGAACAAACGATAGTCTACACGAGCAGCAATGATCTGATCATGGCGCTAACACAACGACCAGGACTTAAGAGACGGGTTCTGAAAAGGTTCCTGCAGGCTGAGAGTTCAAGGTGTGTATGTTAACAAGAACAGGTGATGTGTGCTATGACAGGAGGGTAGATGTTTCACGTAAGGGTGTGTGTGGAGGGGGGTTGACAAAGGGGAGGAGTCAGGAGGCTTGTTTGTCACCCACTATACCCAGTATTTACAAGAAAGGGGCGTATAAAAATGTACAAGGAGATGTCTCTCCTCAAAACCCAGAACTCGAGCCCTGCTGCTAGTTCGACGTGACATCTGCAACAGCACACTGATGAGTTTTATTTTTTTATCTTCTTTTGAGCGCCATTGAAAATAAGCTTTTTCTGTAAAATCACCTGGCTTTGCCACATTGGCTAAAGACTGATAAATAATAAATATACAAACCAAAAAAATAGTTTGTTTCTTTTTACTTTTGCAACTTTTTTTCTTAAATAAATGATTTTATTATTCATCAAAATGGGGACATCAGAACTCTCAGAATTAAATTTTACACATTGGCCGAGATGAGTGGGGCTGAGTAAAATATGGATTTCCTACAACTTGATTTGACCAGACTGCAGCTGCAGTCACGAGAAACAAATATAGCACAGTTTTCAAGATGAGCTAAATTTGGTGAACTTTGGTGAGGCAAATTTTAATTCACATTTTCTTTTATCTTCCGTAACAAAACAAATGTTTTTTATACAACGCTAAATTATTTTTGTCTGTTTGCAATCTTCCAGTGAGGGGGGGATAATATGTTTGCTTTTGGAGCATAAAGTCTGTTTTTCTGTTTTTAGCCTTCTGATGTAAGCTTTCAGTATTGATGTGTTGGCGAAAGTGTGTGTGTGTGTGTGTATGTGTGTGAGAGAGAGAGAGTAAGACAGTGTGAAAGTGTGTTTAGTAACATCTTGTGTTTTTCCAGCTTTGACCCTTTTTGCTTGAGTGTTGCATGCTTGGTAGTTGTACGTCCACTTCCTCTTCACTGTCATCTGACTCAGTGCTGGTAAACTCTTCATCCTCTTCCTCCTCCTCGTCTTCCTCCTCCTCATCTTCTTCTTCTTCATCTTCCTCGCTGGCCTCCTCCTCTGCTGCCTGGGGCTCCTCCAGGTTCTGTCATGGAAAATATTTGCAGAAATTTGAAACAAGTTTGGGAGCAGATTTACTTAAAAAAGGACAAATTAATCAGGCAGCAACGTAGTAACTATCCTGGGCCTGTATGTGGTGCTGGCATGAAAATACACCAAAAACAGGAAACAAGGTGGGGCGCATAAATGGAAATTTTGCACACTGGTTTTGAAAAGTAAACACCACACAAGGACAAGTAGAGGTAGGGTTGTTGCGTTGTTTTTTTTTAAATGATTGCATTTTGACTGTCTACTCCATAAATCCCATTTTGGCGTTCTTAAAATGCCCTTTTTTGAATGGATACAATGTTGAAATGATGAAACATGTTAGCATTTTTACAAAACTGTTCCCACGAGGCCAAAGCCTGAATCAAAAACAAATTAAAATTAGAATCAAAATCAGCTTTATTGTCACTGCACCGAAGCACAACAAAATTACATTTTCAATACAGCCAGTCAGAGAGAAAGATTAACAAACAAACAATGGGGAGACGGAGGTGACTGAGGTCGCCGGCCTCAGGAGGCACAGCCTTATTTTCAGAAAAGGCAAAAGAAACACGAGAAGGGAGGTGTTAAAAAAATCAAATCGTGTACTGTGTCCTAGACCAGACACTGTGTGAAAGTTGCAAAAAAAATTACCTCAGCACATGAAACAGAAACAAACTGATGACATCATAATAAATTTATAAATGGAGAGGTAGACAAGAGCAGTGAGTTGTTCGTGGACTGCCAGGAAGTTCCATAGTCCTGATAAGAGATGGAGATAGTGTCTATCAGCCAGCTCAACTCTGACACAGGTCTACAGATGTTCTCGGGAGGGGGAGCATGTAGTGGATTGGGGGGGGGGGGGGGGGGGCTGAGCTTCTCGTTCACATAAACAACCAGGAGAAGTTTGAGATAGTTGGCCAATTCAAGGCTGAGTGGGTAAGCCAAATTCAGATAAAAGCAGTTACTTTGGGTCAGGCAGCCTCTGCTTGAATTTCCATGTCTGCCTTCATGGCTCTGCTGGTACGTCTTACTGGTGATTCCAAACATCCAAATTTTGTGGTCACACTGCTGGACACAGCTTGTAGCCTTCTTCAAGGTCGATTCCTTCCCGTCAACGAGTCCCAGGAGATGCAAGTGGCCTGCGATTCTCAGAAATCGCATTCAGCTTACGGCTCAGATCACGCAGCTTCTGAGTCTGAGAGCTTACCGCTCAGTACATTCCTTCATGCCAGGCAGCCTTATCAAGGCCAGGATGGCTGCTGACATTTTCCACATTTGTCGATGAGCCAGGTGACCGCCACCTCCAAAAAGCAGAAATCCTGTTCATCATAAATCCAGTTATGTACGCATCTTCAACATCCTCCACTGACAGTACTACCAGACACAATCTTCCACTGCCCCCAGGAATCCATTGTGTATTCAGCTGTAAGTGCCTCAGCCAGGCAAGAGGGCTCTCCTTTACCCTGTCTTCTTGTCAAGAAAATTGTATCAATTGCGTTGAGAGACCAGCTGACCAGATCAATATTTTACAATTTGGAAGATATGAAGTGAGATGCTCCGGTAGGAATCACATAACAGAGAGCAAAGCAGGAGGGAGGCAGAGTGGGAGGGAAAAGCGTCTGACCTCGTCGAGAGCAAGCAGGAAAAAAAAAAGTATTAGCACAATGTTTACTTTAATTTACTTTCATGGGGGTGGCTGGTGCCCATGTCCAGCAATCACTGTGCGAGGGGCGGGACCCTGGACAGGTCGCAAGTCCATCACAGGGACACATAGAGACAAACAACCATTCACTCTCTCACTCACACCTAAGGACAATTTAGAGCTACCAATCAGTCTAACATGCATGTTTTTGGTCTGTGGGAGGAAACCTAAGTACCCGGAGAAAACCCACGCATGCACGGAGAGAACATGCAAACTCCACCCAGAAGGGCCCCCGGACCGGGATTTGAACCAGGGACCTGCTCGCTGAGAGGCAGCAGCTATACCAGTTGCGCCACCGTGCTGCCCCTTATTTTTGATCAATAAAATCAAAATTTGTTTTCCAGTTTAGAAATTAACATATTTTTGTGACCTAATCCATTTTACCAAGAACACACTATATGAATATACTGTATAAACAAATATGAGAAATTCCTTAGTTTTCTTTAAGCTGACAACAACTTTAAAGGTAAAATGTTCTTCTTGTACCTTACTCTAACTAGTACCCCAGCTATTTTTTCCCACCTGTTCCCTCAACAGTGTCAATTTTAACTTCAGCTCCTATACAACAGTTTCCTGCGAGATCAATAAAGTTCTGTTTTACCTCCATTGGGTTGACTGTGATTGTCAGAGCAGAGTCGTCCCAATTCATGTCGGTCTCTTTATTTTTCTCTGCCAGCCTCATCTCCTGCTGGTGAGTCACATGGATGTGGTAGATGCCTAGAACCACCACAACCACCAGGGCGGCGATACACATTACGATTACCACAGTGGCGGCACTTGGCACACCTGAGAATAGCAGAGGAAGATAGATAAAGGAAATTAATTAAAAAAACAATGCAGTAATGCCAACATTGATGTACAATTCTTGTCTTAATTTATGATAGTTATTTTGTTGTATCATCAGGGATAGCTGAAGTTTATTGCTACACTTTTATTGATAGGTGAGACTTTAAATGAGACTTTAAAAACTTATTAATTTATTAGAACAAAAAGTCAGGGTTAGCTGTATTTAGGTTGTTTTCACACCTGATAGTCTGGTAGACTCGGTTTGGTTGGGGACCAGTATTCATGACATTTTTTTCACATTTGAGCTGGTGCGTTTGCATTCACACTGCACTGTGCAGTCGAGCCAACCTGTTGAACCAACCTATTCCCCCGCTCGCCTGTGGGGGCGCTGCACCAAGAACTACTGAAAGAAACAACACAAAAACCTCTGAAGACACTTCTTCTTTTGGAAATAAAAACAAAAACGGAGTGGCATCAAGTTTTAGTAGTTTTAGGAGTTATATTTTGTCATTTTTCAAAAATAGACTCAGCATGAGCAGAAGATGAGGCAGAAGACCATGGAGAATATTGATTTTCACACAAGGCAGCTGACGGCTCCATATAAGGTAAGAGAAATGCGTGTTTGTTTGCCCTGCGCTGTACTCCACTTCTTGCTTGTGGAGCGGGGCCAGTCTGATTACATTCACACTGTACTCGAACCGCGCTGGAGTTCTCTTCTATCGGACCGAGACCTAGGTTTTAACCCGGGCCAGAGTTCGCCTTTTTGTTCCGTGACAGAGTTTGATGGCGGCGCGTTCACACCTTCCCAAACGAACTGGACTTTCTAGGAAAACGAGCTAGAGTTCGATTAAAGCGGACTAAACAGAGCTGGTGTGAATGCACCCTTAAACACAATAAGACCAACCCAGTCCCCCTTCACACTGGCTTTTCTATGATATGCACAATCAGCCAGAACATTTGTTTTCTTGGCATGGTCTTGAAGTTTTCTGCTGTGTATTAGGAACAGAGGGGGTTCATGTAAAAGGTGCACAAAACTTTGGTAGTGAGAAAGATAGTGGTTTATCATTGTGATGGAAACATATTGAAGCCTTGGGTGGATTTATGATGGCAACCTATCCCTGGCTTGGGGCCTGCAAACATTAGTGTGGCTTCTAACACGGTTGAGAAGACAACAACAATGAAGGTCTAAAATAGGTCAGGTGCAGAAAGAAACATTAAAGTGTTTATTGTAGTACAGGATTAATTTTATTGTCCTATGTGTAGAAAGGGGGAGGAATTGAAAAGTTTGATAGCCACATGGAGGAAGGACTTCTTGTGGCATTCTGTGGAGCACCTCGGTGGTCTCCGTCTATGACTGAAGGTGCTTCAGTAAAAGACCAGTGTGTCATGCAGGGTGTGTGACGTGTTATTCAGGATCTGGAGCAGTTTCCTCAGCATTTTCTGCTCAGACACCTCTGTCAGAGACTGCAGTTCTTGATCTTGTGTTTTGGTTCAGTTTTTTAAAGCATATTCTTGTAAGGATGGTATCCCTCTGTCTGTCTCCCTGTGTCTGTGTCTCTCATTAATGACCTTAATCAGTTTCACCCGCGTGTCCTTCAGGTGTTGGTAGGTTGTCTCGTCTAGTCTGTGTATATAAGCCCTGGTCTGTGTCTCAGTCTTTGTCGGTCGATCATCTGGTATCCCTCTGTGTTCCCCATGATTTCCATGTCCTGATTTTGTAAGTTTATGCTGTCACGACAGCTTGTTTATTTATCGTTATTATTAAATATTTCTTATTTTACACCCTGCCTTTGACTCATGCCTGCAACAATGGGTTCTTTCCTGTTCTGTCCGCCTGAAACTCCTGACAGTATAGACCGACCAAACCAGAACCCTGCAGGCAGAGTTTCCCCGGCTTCACTCACCTGTCTGCTCGAGCCCATGCAGATGGGGGAGACCGTGATCCGGTGCGGTGGGTTTTGGATCGAACCCGCTCAGGCACAAGGATGTTACAGACTGGAGATAGAGATCCTGCCTTCACCCCTTCTGGTCCTCGAAGAAAAAGAAGGTCACAGATCCGGGTGGACTGCCTGACGTGCAAGCTCAGTTCTTCCTCATCTCCAGCCCTATTTGGTTACTTGGGATGGATGTCGAGGGAGGACGCAGAGCCGGAGAACGAGCTTTGTTTCGTTCCTGCCCCTCATCCTCATTGCTGCCGCTGGAGAGGCAGAAAACAGACCTGTAAGCAGTCCATGTTGCTTGTTCTGGCACAATCAGCAGGTCCAACTTGGCCCGATGAAGCCGAATATCCTGGAAGTGGTTCCAGCGCTTCAGTGGAGACGGGTCCTGTTGCCTCACCTCCCAGGGTTCTGGTGAGGGCAGAATCAGACTCCTCACCATCACTCAGAGTCGCCTGCCTGACCTGTTTCTGCCTGTTGGATGGCCTCCCGGCCGCCCGTCTGACCTGCTCTGACCTGCTCTGACCTGCTCTGACCTGCTGGATGCTTCCGGCCACCCGCCTGACCTGCTCCAGCCCGTTGGACAGTCTCCCGGCCACCCGCCTGACCTGTTTACGCTTGTTGGACGGCCTCCCGGCCACCTCCCTGACCTGTTTTTGCCTGTTGGAAGGCCTCTTGGCCATCCACCTGAACTGTAACCAGCTTAGGGACAGTCTCCTGATCATGCAGACATTCTTTATGTTTTCTAGTTTTGTTAGTTTAGGTCCCAGGCTCTTGTCCTGCCAGTTTACCCTCGTGTGTTCCTTATGCCCTCTATCCTTGTGGTACCTCCTTCCTCCCACCCAAGTCTTTTGGGGTGGACCTTTTTGGGATGCCAGGGGGCGTTCTTGGGGGGAGGGTACTGTAAGGATGGTATCCCTGTGTCTGTACTTCCTAGTGTCTCTCATTAATTACCCTGATCAGTTTCACCCGTGTGTCCTCCATGTGTTTGTAATTTGTCTCATCTAGTCTGTGTATATAAGCCCTAGTCTATGTCTCAGTCTTTGTCAGTCCATCATCTGGTATCCCTCCATGTTCCCCGTGATTTTGATGTCCTGGTTTTGTAAGTTTATGTTGCCATGTCAGCTTGTTTATTTATCATTATTATTAAAGTATTTCTTATTTTACACTTTGCCTTCGACTCATGCCTGCAACAATGGGTTCTTTCCTGTTCTGCCTGCCTGAAATTCCTGACAATTCTTCTTTTGTAATAACATTTTTACATGTTGTTGGTTTAAAAAGAGATTTTTTAAAGCTTTTAATAAAAATCTGTGCATCAACTACACAGTTGAGTTCAGTCAATCATCACTTTTCCGAGAATTGAGAGGTCGTGCTGAGTTTAAGTAATCTATTCTTTTTTTTAAAAGTCCTTTTTTTTTAATATAAAAACCACAAAGTATTTTTCTCTTAGTCATGGTATAATGATCAGTAATATGAAAAGAGTCACTTATAATCTGAAAGCCATTGTCTAACTCTGTAGTTTTCCTCTCCTCGTTTATGTTATTTAAGATTCTATTACTTTACATCATGGTTTAATATGCTGGTGAAGATTCTCAGTCATCCAGGACATGAAAATGATCCAACAAAGTTCAATCAGGTCATCTGGATGGTTTCTTTTCTTTTTTTTGTTGAGACATTAATAATCTTCATCCAGAGGACTTCATCAGTCCAATGAGTCAGCGCAAACTGAGTCCCACAAGATTTGACACTGGAAATCCCATGGCACAGCCGTGCTTCTGTCTGTAAAAACTGTCATTGAACTTGAAATAAGTGTTGGAGAGGCAAAGATCCAACAGGGTGCAGATCTGGTCTGAGGTGAAGTTGGTCCTGTTGATTAAGTCCTTGTCTTGTAGAAGTCATTTTCTGATGGTTTCTACTGCTTCAGAAATGGGTATGCAAGTGAAAAGAGACCGGGGGGGAGGAAGCAATTTGTGGGGGAGTGGTGGCACAGAGGTTAGAAGATGGGCTTGTGATCGGAAAGTTGCAGGTTCACCTCCCGGTACCATCAACATCAAAATGTGGGTGGAAAAGGTGAAACACCCACACCTCCCTCCACCCTCATTCGCCCCACTCTGGGCCCCTGAGTAAGGCCCCTAACCCCCACCATCTGCTCCCAAAACAGGTCTCTCTTGAAAATGAGTTCTCGTGGCTCAATGCGACTACCTGGATAAATAAAGGGTAAATGAAAAAAAATAAAATAAAATTATGCTAAGAGGAAAAACCGTCTCTTAAC